CAGAGGATGAAATATCATTGGTGACGGATTTGCCAACAGTGTACTAAAAACTGGGAAGACTGATGCAGGTTTTAATATGTGGAAGATGTTTGGTATTTCAAAGTTGTTAATGTTTGCATTTTTAAAAAATTATTATGCTTGATGTGTGCAGCAGCTAAATCTTTCTTGTTGATAATCAGGGCTGATTTATCTCTTTTTAAAAATTGATCTCAAGCCATACAAGATCTTATGACTCCCAGGAGGAATTAAATAGCTCAGGCATACTCATTTAGATGAAGTTCACGCCCTGACCTCTTCTTCATAGCTCCAGTTCACACCTGTCCGGTTCATTTTGCCAGAAAAGCTGTTTAATCCTTCCTATTCCTCCCTTTTCTCCAACCAACCCACACACTGAATTGAACTCATAATCATAGAACATAAATACAAATTTCAAAATTTCATCTCTCAAGGAAATAGGAAATTTTTATGACAGTGCGTAGGCTGCTATAGCAATGATGGACTGGACAACTCAAGGTACTTGGGTATATGGAGTGTCTCTTTGCAGTTAAAGTCAAACCAAAGGCAAAGACTTAGATCCAGCTCCCCAGTAAACCTTGTATGGGCAGAAGTCCCCACCAACCGATTGGTTTTATTTTTAACTAAATAATTTCAATGACCTGTATTTTTTCTATTTTTATTATCGCTGTGTTCTTCTGCATGGCAACTTATAGATTCACATGCATAAGGAAGTCTCCACATTGTAAAACACTTTATGAATAGCAGTGTATGATATCTTCAGTACAGATCCTCATTTAGATTCGTTTGTTTGCTTTACTCTAGTTCGAGAGCATCTTTTCCCCATCCTCAAATAAACTTAGTAAAAGTCTGTAAGAAGTATGATAGAATTTAAAACTACTTGAACTTTGAAGCTAATAAAATACCTGTACTAAGGGAAAATGGACCACAACATTTCATAGTGTCATTTCATTCCCAGTGCTATGTATTAGGTACGAAATTGCAATCTTCAATCTAATCATTAAACTCCAAGAGCATTCAGATTTGGTTCATAATTCACGCTGGGAAGACAAGCTTGCAAAACACATTATCAAGGTTCGGATTTCAAACCACCTCAAGATATGCAGGTGTTAAAATTATGATATTGTCATCATTTATCCTTCCTTAAATTTTGGAGTAGCCATAGTTGTCATCCTTAACATCTTTCACCTGTTCACATTAGATCATACTATCTGTTTAGCAAGATTAAGTTTGCTCAAGTTGTAAATTTTTATTTCAGGTCTTAACCTTCAAGGAGATTATGAGTAGTTCTTTGCCGTACATACCTATTTTGTTTACTGACTTACTGACTTCATACACTCCATACTGCTACGGACTGGGAAGATCTAAAGGGCGTTAGTGAGTGTAAATACATGTGGGGTGACTTATAGCAATGATAAACCAGAAAGGATGAAAGCATCTTACTGATACTGCATCTCATGTTACACGTTGTATGTTGTATGACAGAAACTGGTTTTACACGAACACTGTTGTTAGGGATTCAGCTCCTGGAAAAGCCCTAGCCAAAATACTTTTTCAGTCATATTCCCCATAAAGCAATAGAAGACAAAGATGGCAAGGGACAGGTTGTAGAACCCCCCTCATGGACTGTCATACAATTGTAAAATTTCTGTTAAAATCCTAAACCTGTAGCAAACAGAGAAAAGATAGTTTGAGATTGTGTCTTAGTAGTATATTTTACTCTCAAACCTCTGATTTCCTGGACATTATTTGGATGTACTGATTCTTCTGCTTGTCTTGAAAGTGGATTTTGTAGAAGAGTTGGCTGAAATATTCTTATTTGATTTTTTTTCCCTGCTAAAATGGTCTTTTCCCAAAACTGGGAGTTTCCAAAGAGAGTTTTTACTTTTTGAAATGCTGACCTGTTGGAATATCAGGCTTTTTGTTTATTCTTATTGACTCCTTTTTTGTTTTCTTTTATTTTAATCCTTTCTTGTCACACAGTCTATAGACTCAGCTCATGTTACTTTTTTCATAGTTTTTTTTTTCTCATTCTGGCATCCTTTATCTTCTTCCAGCTCCTTTTGATTTGGAGGTATTGAAGAATGGCAGAAAGAAACTGAAAAATGTCCCGAAATAATCCAGAACATTATCTGTATATTGCATAAGGGATTAAAAGAAAGGAAGAGATGGGACAATACGATTAAAGACTTCCTCATGAAAATAAAAGGAAACAAACAGATCCAAACAGTGTCATTACCTCACTGCATAGAAAGAGATCCAAATTTTTGGTTTTCACTTTTTCTATAATTTTTTTTCCTTAGTCCTTTTCCTGTTTCCCACTAAGATGCTATACAGGGAGAAATTGTCCCGTACTCTCTCCGCATTGCACTGTGGATTTTACAGAGCTTATTTCTTTCACACGACAAGCATGCATGCATGCATGAATTTTCTTATGGACACATGTGGCATAATAAAAAAGTCTTTTATTAAGAATAAAAATCTCTTTTTCCAAAAAGAAAGCAGTGATGGAACCTGAGACTTCCAAAAGCTTTGTTACAATGAGTATAAATCATTTATCTCTCCACAGTAGAATGTATGTATTTTGAACTACCTTGTTCAGACTTTCATCATTTGTCCTTTATGCAGCAGCATCTCAAGGCAACCCTCAAGTTTTTCCTTCTTTCAGAAACTCTCTATTCCTTGAATTTCCTTCTCAGTCTAGTGAAAGGTTCCAGGGGATGGGACTTTCCACTGTTACATAGGATCTTGCATCCAGCATTTCTTATAGGCAGTAGAGGTTAGCTATTTTCACCAATAATTTTCGAAGGCAATAATTGTCAAAGGCAATAATTTTCAAAGGCAATAAAATTTCACCAATATTTTTTTAAATGGTGAAACCAGTGTATTTATGGATGTATAGAGGAGAGTTTTGTTTGCTGGAGAGGTCAAGTAATTTGGCAAAGGTTATGTGGCAGAATGACAGGAGAGAACGTAATGTTACCCAATACACCAGGGTGCCCCTCTACATCTCTGCCTAGGAGCTGGTTATCTAAGCAGGGTACCTGCTGTGAAATTCGCAGTCCCCACTTCATTTGATGCTTTACGCATTTCCCCTTTGCTTAATGTCACAGTTGACAATTTGCACCTTCTCACTGCAACACTTCTATGTATTTAGGTGTTTGCTGAGGAAAACCCTGTTCTTGACATACCAGCTTATGTCCTCTCCATGCCTGACAGTCCCTGTTTGCCCTATCGAATTTGAAACCAGCCTTCTGTTTGCCAGACAAGCAGGCTATGAATCTTTCACAATAGTGTCCTCTGACGAATATTTGTTTTTTCGATTAGTTATAGAGAGAGTCAGAATCAGTGCACCGCTCTGCTTCTAGCAGCCAAATGGTGTCTGGCAACATATCCAGGCTGGATTCCCAACCGGTCACTTATGGTCAGAGTTTTGATGAATTTCACAAGAAGCATGAAGGATTGATCATTTCATTCATACTGAAGGCTCTGAGCAATTTGAGGCAGGTCAAGTAACCCCTGAACCCACTGGGAAAGTAGTAAAAGTTTCATGTCAAACCACAAGAGGAAGATAATTGCAATGCAGAGTCCGTGAATACACGGGCCGTATGGACTGTGTTGTATTTGTGCTGCAAGACATGTGAATAGGAGAGATCATGCCTCCTAGTTTAGGGACTGATCCTGCAGATTTGAACTGATTTAAAGAACAATTGCAGTCTTGAAAGTAATATATTCCTGGTAGTAAAAGAATTCAGAATTTAATTAAATAAGAGGAGCCCCAAGGTCTGAATGGCAAAGATGTATTGATAGCACAAATACGAAAAATGCAGATGTGCATACCTGAGGTACTGTGTCACAGCTAAGTCTCTGCTGTGCTCTCTCAGGTTTTGTTCCCCTGCTGTCCCACAGCTTGGTGCAGGAGAGCATGTGTGCATACCACACTCTCCTAGTGTGGTGCTAAGAAGCTTGACGGTGAATCTGAGGATGAATTGATAGCATCAGGCTAAACTAGCCCTAACAAAAGGGCATGTGCAATATGTCGAGAGTGCTTCATGGCTGTCCCACAAGGACTGGCATTGGAGGTAGTCTTTTCTTTTTTTGTCCCCAGTGGAAAGTTTATCATAAAGGAGACTGCAGAAAAGAAAAGTTTCTTCTGTAGCAGCACTACAGGAATCTACTTTCAAGCAAACTCACTACATTTTCTTCAACTAAAAGCTGACATCTTTAACACATTGTTAGCACTTCATGTACAAGTCAGTGTATCAGGCAGTGTGCCACTTAACATACAAGGCTACAGCAAAACACAGCTCAGAACAGTACTAGAGTGGGTGTCTCATGACTGAGCGCAGGACCATCATGAGAGCTCAGGGAGGCTGGGAAAGGTGAGGAAATGCTGATTTCCCATTGTCCAGGTTCAAGTAGTTGGAAACCTCTGCTGCCAGAATTTCCATGCCACAAGCAACTTATACCTGGAATAGGAATGGAGGATGAGTTACATGCAACCCCCATACATCTGAATCAGTCCAAATTTTGCTTCTGTTCTGTATCCCAGACTGCTTCTGGCTGCTGTGCAAGGGCTTAAGTAGTTAGGAAGTTCCTCATTCTCTACAGATTATTTGCCCTTAGCCAGTAACACTCAGTAAATCTAACAAATCACTTCCCCCGAGAGATTTTGGGTACCACACATCATCTATAGCATCTGAATGGAACAGTTTCACATCTCTTCCTCAAGCATGAGATCACTACTTTGCGCTGATGTGAAGCAGTTGCATTTCTAGGAACCAGCCCACCATTCCGATTCAAAAGGTTTCCAGAGATTTTGCTTTTCATTTCCTCCTCCTGCTGCATGGCAGCATGAACTCCCTTAACAAGCTATTGTAACAATCTCACCCACCAACCCACCCACCTAGAATCAATGGGAGACACAGAAAGCAGCCCTCTCCCTCCCAGAGAAAGCCTTGCAACAGATACAGAGGTACAAGTACAACCTCAGATTCTTGGTTTTTTAGCTGCATTCACTGCTGCCATGGGCATGTATTCACTGTTGTACTCATGGGAGTTGGGTTCACACTGCTGATTCTGCAAACAGAGAGAAAATGCCATGAATTTAATTTCTGGTCACTAACCTCTGACACTCCTGCCTTTGTTCTTTAAGTAGGGCAGTTACTCTGACTGTTTTCACTGAGAATATTAAAGTCAGAATAGACAGGCACTCATGCAGAAAACTTGTAATAGAACAAACTGAAAATGAAAAACACGTATTGTCCAAAAGAGTAACTAATATCCATGGCCTCCTTTCTTTCCTGAGTCAACTGGTTCTTTGTTAAGTGGGTTTGCTCCAGAACAGAGCTAGAATTGCTCCACTGATGATTTGTTTCCCCTTCTTGAAGAAAACAATCAGGTGAATTGCTTACCAAAGTAATTTTGCTGACCTGTGCAGCATTTCTCCTCTTTCCTTTGATTCCCAGCCTTTAAATCAATAAACAATTCTGTCTTAGAAAAATTAAATCTGAGCTGCTGTCATCAATGACTGAATTCCAGTGGTAAATTAATAACTCAGACTCTTTGTCAAAAAACACATCACGTGCTGAGTGAGTATGTGCCTGTCCCACCCTCTAAATCTCATTAAATCAAGTTCCCATCCATCCCCCTTCCCTCTCCTTGGAAGGAGAGTTGTGCAGAATCTCACAGACTTGCTTACCTTGTTCCGTAAGCAACAGGCTACAACACAGCAGATACAGGAAATCATGGCAAACATAATCAGGCCAATAATTATCCATGACATGAGTCCCAGTGAAATGCAGTTGTCTTCCTTATCTGGAGATGGGGAGGCAAAAATGTCATCACTGATAATTTGCATTTTTTCCCCCTAGAGATAACTTTTCAAATTCTTTCCCCTCTTCTCTTCATATTAATAAAATAGCAAAAGCGAGCTCTGAAGAAGGACTTTCCTGAGGTGAAAAGCCACCTTGGAAAAGTGTATTCAAGTTTTCCAGAAGGAGAGATGAAACTGTTGGTACACAGGGCTAAAAGTGTAGACTGAAAAGAAACAAAGCCAGGCTTGAGAGCATGATGGTATTTCAGATCTGAGCAAGGCTTAAGTTTACATTCAGTGAGTACCACAGGTGATTTAAAGGGCAGTCTGGTCTAAAGAAGGGTGGACTTTGGCAATCATGTTGGATAGGAAGGCAAGCTGAGGGACACAAGATTACCCTTGCCCAGATCTGGGAGAAAATATGATAGGACATGAAACATATGGCAATAGCTATGAGCATCTGGTTATCTGCAGACAAAAAAGGATGTCACAGCTTGATTCTGAGAAGCTGTTTTAAGTTCAGAGAGGGCTGAGAGATAGTTTGACCCGACGACATAATTTTAGCTTAGCATTTCAGCTTCTATCTTTGTTTAGCCCTGGTGTTGAGAGATAGGAAAAGATGGCAAGGGAAGGACAACAGCCATGTTGCAACTGAACTATATGGAGAATGAAGAAGGGGTGTGAGCAAAAACTAACAACTCTTTCTGTTTAATATACCAAAGACCCACTGAGTGAAAGGCAATTGAAAATTAAAGCCTGTGCATCAGGTCTTCTGAAGTTAGTCCAAGCCTTCTCAGTAAAAGGCCAAAAATTCTCAGTGGTTGTGGATCTATTCTGCTCTGAGAAGGCTCTAAAGCTGAAGGCCTGCTTCAGAGAGGTGAACACTATCTTCTTCACATCAGTGTGGCATCAGAGTTCCATATACCACTACTAGCACAGTTATTTGACAGCTGATTTTATTTTTATCCTAGGCACATGAAGATAGCTCTCAGAATGGATTCTTTTTCCCTGGCTAGAAATAATCTAACATTTGTATTCAGCAGCTTGAAAAACGGACAATGGGAAATTTCTGCTGCAGGCAAAGGTGGGACTGCAGTACTCCAGAAGATGTAGTCTAGCTAGCTTGGGTGCCACCCAACAATATGCAGAGCTCAGCATGGCCTGCAAAACCTGCCCAAGAAGATTAATAAATACAGAGAGGCCATGCTGAGCAGTCTGCCAACACAGCTCCACTATTACCAGCCCCCTGCTAAGTAGTTTTAAGCTGTCTTGGAAATATCTGTGCAAACTCCAGTCACATTTTTCACTGCAGCATAGCTATGCCCAATGTCTACTTATCAGTAAACTGAAATGAGGGGAGAAAAGAAGTAAACTTACCTTGGATGTACAGATAGGTTTCTTTCAGCCGGCAATCTATATAAGGAGGGGGTAAGAGCATCTCCAGGCAGTAGGTATAAATGTCAATATGCTTTCTTTCCAGATTTTTAAGAATGAAAGTGGTACTGCTATTTGAATGCTCTGTCTGACAGTAGGTGACATTACTCTTGGGGATAACTTTCTCCTCACTCAAATGGAGTGCACAGATCTCCTTCTTTTCAAGCCCTTTGAAGAGGGTCATGCTGAACTCACTCACATTTTTGGGATTGGGGAATGTGAACCTGAAGTTTCCATTTTCAAATTCCACCATCACCTGGGGGTCAGAGACATGAGGCTGATCTGAAGACATGAAAACAATAAGTACAGTCACTCACATAGCAATGAAAAGAATCCCTAAAATGTTAAGAAACTCATTTAAACAGAGCAAGTGAACCATGTGATTGAAACTTAAGGCATGTAGGTACTCAGAATAGTCTGGCTGTGGAAAGCAGCCTGCACAATGAGATACTAGTGCCTCATTCTGATCATGTCAGACATTACTGAGAAAATAAATGAGATGAGATAAGACCTGGCCTGTTATCCACTATAAGGCTGGAGAGGTCACTGTTAGCATTGGATCAGTGAGTTACTTGATAACGTTTAAAGGGCCCCTTGGACCAAACACTATATGGACATATAATCCCTGCCTCAGACTGATTGTCCTATTCATAGATGAAAAAAGGTGGGACAAAGATGATGATAATTATCTCTGGTTTATGGTTCATAATCTGCATCCTAATGATGTAGCTGAAAACTTAAAATGGGATGTGAACCGAAAACTCCTACATAAATGCCTTAACCACAAGACCTATCTTTCCCTTCTAGAGTAGATACTGGTTTGAGGCATGATACAAACTTTAAACCTAATTACTTAGATGGCTATAGCACCTTTATCACTAACATAATGGGAGGAGTAGAGGACAAATGTCACTTTGTGCATGCACCCACATGCAATCCAAAAATCACATTTGACCTTCCCCAAAACTGTCTGAAAAACTCTCAGATGTTGTGCAACTCCATTTTGCAAATTTCTTGGAGGAAAAAAAGAAAGTCAACTGACCGAGGACCTCCTGCTACCTCACAGTTTGACTCTGTAAAATCAGCGACCAATAGCATGGGAAACTCCCTCAGACAAAAATGTGTTAAAGTGTGCTGTAAAAAAATGACAATTTTTTCTTCAAGGGCAGTATTTTCTGATCTAGAAAGGCATTTAAAACCATAAACCAAATTATGCAAATGCGTCTTACCTATATTTTTGCACGGTCTTGACGAGCAGCTATCAGCTCCTGAAAAATACAAAATTGTTTAAAATTCAAGGAGATGCAGGAACAGGGGCCGAGCCATGCAATGTTAAGGTGCTGAAGTTATTTTCTAATTTTTTCATTAGCCTATCTGATCCTGTCTGTGCTATACTATAAAATCATATGATGTGATAAAAGCACAAAATATAAAAATCAAAGTAGAAAGAAAATGCATAGAGCAAGAATTAATATTGATCTTACATATAGCATTTACAAATTCTTAAAACACCTCTGTAAAGTAATAGATGTACTTCATAAATAGAAGCTGAGATGAAAGTAAAATCTCCCCCAAAATACTGATGAAATGTGACCCCAAATAAAAGACCATACTTTTGATTTGTCATGAATCCATAGTCTGCAATGAGCCAGCATCATACTTTTTTCCAGACCAAAGCGCTCATTTCCGTCTATGTTCATTCTGTTTCCCCCTCTGCTCAACACTGCATCAAAACATCTTCTTATAGCACATCCAGAATGAATATCTGGAAGATGTTCCAATACATACAGCAAGAAAATATTCAAGCAATGCATATGATTTTGTTCCTTTCTCAACAGCCAAACTGCATTCAGTCCATTGTGCATAGGCAGCCTCCATTACAGGAGACAGGCACATTTTTAATAATTGTTCTGGATCTGTTTTTTAAGCCGCTGCCTCCATCACCACCCACTACGGCGATACTGAGGGTGGAATTTCCTGGCTGGATTGGTGGCATGTACCCCTTTGAAATGGTTTGTATGTCAGTACTGGCAGCATAGCACAGCCTGATAGTGTTTCATTTGGAAATCTTCTTTTTGCAGTGCCCTAAAACTAAAGATACAGACAGGTACACAGGCAAGTAGAAAAAAAACCGCATCTTCTCTTCCTGTTTTCTGGTAGCCTGAGTAAGTTCTTCAGAGGCTGCTTAGATTGAAATATACTGTACCTCAGGATTTTATGATGCTAAGGAAATACGGGGCAAATACTTAAAGACTTTGATGGACCATCGTATTCTTCTTACTACTACATGGTAGTCTAGATCCACACAGAATAGGTCCCCAACTGTACCAGGTATTGCACTGATTACACCGTATAAATAATCTTTTTCCCAAGGCACCTGTTATCTTTGACATCCACCCTGCATAGGCACAGGAACAAGATTATTCTCGTTTCGGTACCTTTGTATGCTCTCAACTCTTTCTGGATGGAGGCAATCTTTTAGTGTCCATGCTTTTTCCTTCCTTGAATTCTTGCTCCCCAATTACCACCATTGGCAAGGGCATTGCAATGAATGATACTCGTTTAAAATATTTTTAGTGTGACACATAAGCTAATGGACTTCTGGAAGGCGCTTTGCGATGCTCAGTTGGAAAGCAATAGAAACTTATCCCTTTCTGATTGATTTACCCTCTTCCTAGTTATCAGATTCTTCCTGGTTTACAGTGAGCAGTCAGCACCCTTATCTAATTCAGCGACAGTTCTAATATCTGCACTTCTCTCAGGACTATTACTTAAGTGTGTGATAACAGACGAGGTATTTGGCATCTTGGTGTGAAGATAAGACAGACAAAATGCTCAGCTCGCCAACCCATAGTGAAATAGAGCTCTAGATACGCTTGAAAGTGCAAACCCTCCTAATGGTATGTAGTCTCAAAAGCTGAAAGCAAAGGTCAAATGAAGAAACAGTTCTCGACTTGCATGTTGCATGGTGAAAGAAAACAGCTGCTATGAGAACAGCATTTGAAATAAAGGTCTTTTAAAATGCTCTGTAGTTTGATGGCCTGTAGTTTGGTAACATACACCTTTAAAATTAGGCCCAACAGCAGACAAATTATTTAGGGAAGGGAAGAAAAAAACAAGTGTATTGATATAGCAGAAGCTACGGAGCATGGTGAATACGTAAGCTGACCTGATACTTTTGAGAAGCACCCACCTGTAGGTGAGACCTCTACATTTGTCACTGGTCATCTGAGAGGAGAGGCAGATGCTGACTCTGTCGGGGCAGCTACAGAGCCAAGTGGTGCCATATTCCCCCAATGCCCCAGAGGAGCGCCAGGCTACCCTACTCTGAGCGCTAAATTTCATTTCTCTGTTTGTCTCTGAGAATAGTTCAATTTTGCTGTTCGCTAATGAAATCGCCCTTTCACACCAGGTGGTTTAAAATGTTTGTCAGAGATCATGGTTTTAATCCTTTAATGGAAAAGGGCAGAGAGAGGTCATTAAGCATGTAGTTCATGTGATCTTGTGGCAAGCTGAAAGATCATTTTGCATCCTCTCAGGCCCAGAAGCCTTAACTGCCTATTTTCAAGAAAGACTCAGTAATGTATTTCTCTGAATGAACATTTTGGTAAATGTGATGCAATTAGTATTCCTCTGAAACAAGTGACCATATAGAAGAGTGTGCTTAGCATAGTATAAAGGGAGCACATTTTAAAATGAGATTAACAGTGCCTGTGATTAAAACACAAAATTGTCTACATGGATGACCACAATGAGTGAGATCTGATGTGAATTTCCAATTCACTAGCTATTCAGCATCAGCTCCTAATGTGGATACTCTCACTGCATACTAAAAGGTGGCTTATTCCCCCCTCCCTGTGCCTGATTGCTGTCCTCCTGTGCCCATTTGTACCAGTTCATTCCTAGGGTATCCTGTAGACCTGTAACACTCGGTGGTTAATGGCCAGACACATTTGGGATGTCATTTGCCAAGCTACAGTCAGAATAAACGTACATTTAGTGGGATGGGAGATAGGAAACTGGGGCTTAAACATCCAATAATGTTGAGAGATTCACTCACTAAACCTCCCTAATACTACCTCAAAAAATATGTTGGAAATGAACAGAAGAATCTCACTGGTTCAGTAGTAAAAACGCTGAGATTTGGCCTTAAGGTTCCTTTTTGGTATTTTTCATAAAAGAGCTAATTCAATTGCATATGAGAGTTTTGAGACAAGAGGAAACAAATTTCATTCATTCATTCATTTCACAGCAGTGTCACACTGTGGAGTTGTGTAGAGTTCTTCCTGCCTCACCTCATGTGGAGCAGAGTGTCAAGACAAATACTTGGATCAGATGTGAATCCAAGAGATGAACATGTATATGAAAGTAACATCTTGCTGTGTTAAACTATGAGAGTGTGTGTGTACATTCTATGTATATGTGTATTTACAGTCATGTACATTTCCATCTCCATTTCATCTTTACTGCAGTGGGAAAGCACTTTGGCAGAGGTTTGGGGATTTCTATGGTAGTGTGTTTGGATACTGAGGCCAATGGAAGGCAGGTTATTTTCGTTTTAATGGGATTGGATTGCCATTTTGAGCTTTCTGGTTGCTCTTTGGCAGACCCAATGCTATTTACAAACATCACCAATCCATTACACATTTTGGTCCTAACAGAAGTTTAAAAACCACTTTTGATTAATTTTAAAACTTGGGATTTAGGATAGAAGGATAGAATACTCCTGCTTGGTTTTCTTGCTGTTTGTTTTATCTGCCCCAGCTCTCAGAAAACTAATTAGCTGATAAAAAGAACAAGCATAATTTCAGTTGGGTGTGTTTGCCTCTGAAGATGAGCAAGGAGAGTGCAGACCCTGCCTTTAAAACAAACACATTTGCTTTGTTAATACTAAATGCGTAATGAAACCACACACATTTTTTTAAGTTGCTATAGCTTTGACCTTTCAAGGCACTCTGAAAGATGACACTGTCAATTCAGTGTCATTAGTCATATGCCTAAACTAACACGTTCCTATCTTTCAAGAATCAAGGATTAAGAGAGGAAAGCAGTGCTTTGGGGCAAAGCAAGTAATGGCCAGAATTACTCTAGGAAGCCATCTATAATCTGAATTATTTCTACAGTATAACATAAGTTGTGAAATACGGAAACTCCTATAAAATATATCACTAACACAGCAGCCATTGTTGATAATATTTCAGACACCCTTCTAAGAAATGACCATGATTTCCTCCTGCATTGACAACGGGAGATGTGTGGGTGAACAGTGATAATGGTTTGCAAATGTTGGTGTGCAAAAGCTCATGTGCAATGTTCCATAGCAAGGACCTCAAGTGCTATGGAATCCTACAGCTCTGTACTCCAAAATCCCATTGCTTGTGTTCCTCTACAGGCACCAGAGAGGCTCCATGCTCTTACAAACAATTTCTTTATCACGATTGGGTTATCAAATCATAATACACATATACACACATATATCACCTTCTGTGACCTATCTACATGGGAAAAAACTATCCATAGATCACAAGTAGGGCTTGCTAATTGCTAAGTCAAAAAAACCCCAAAATCTCAGAAGTTACTCTGCTTTTACTCCCAAAAATTTGCCACAATGCTTGGCAGCACTCTCTGGAGTGCGAGCTTGTTCTCTAAGTGAGAGTATCGTGCTAATGTGTCTTACATCAAGCTGATCTTTTACAGCCCTTTTCTTTTTAGCAAGACTGATAATAATTAGTAATTTTTATGCTGAAAGCACTGTAAGGTAAAAAACCTGAAAGATACCATTTCTTGTTACAGGCAGTCTCTTTCTCCTGCCATTTCCTCTCCCCAAATCTTATCTTCCATGTTTGAAGGAAGGGAGAAAGAAGAGAGAAATGCTGGTATCAGATAGAACAATTATTTGCACCCTTAAAATTACAGCCTATTTCTTCCCACAAGGAATGGCCTTTTAGATAGCTCCAGCCACATGTAAAAGCATGCTCGTCAAGTATACCTGCTAAATTGACCAGCAGAGAAATATTTAACAAAATTGATAGGATTTTTTTGTTAGTAGATTTAAGAATAACTTTTTAAGGAGAAAAAGAGCAGCTCATGTCCCGTTAGAGATACTGATCACAATCCTCCTTCCCTGTGACTTCACCCATCTTTTCAATCTATCTGAAAACTCGGTACACTATCGCTGTATTAGTTAACCTTCAGAAGGGTATCTGCATTGCCTGAAGAGCTGGAAACTGTTTTTTATTTAAATGAAAATTTAAATTCTGTATGAAACCTCAGGAGTACTTAAATTCTACAGGGGGACTTGAAACCTATCCTGTATCGCTAGAATTTCAGAAGCAAACGTATTCAATAGCGCTTAGCATGACCTTCAAAGGAACATGTTTAGATGGTGCTTAGTAACTGTGCGCACTAAATCTCAGGTCTTACTTATATGATGCATGATACCAAGTCCTCAGACAGTATATGTATGAAAAAAAAGACTCTTCTTAATCAGATACTATCTGTATTTCCATCCTGGCCTGGTAATATGTGGGTTTCAGAGAGATAAATTTGAGCTCTGGTATTTTACTTTGTGTAGCTGTGATAAAACACTGAATCTTGTAAAACGCTACATCCATGTTTATGGCTGGACTGAGATCAGCGCTGTCACCATGCCCTTTCTCAAACACAGCATTAGGAATGCTACGCTTCCTTTTAAGTCAGTCTGTGTTTCAAGCCTGCACAAAAATGAACTCATCCACTCTTCTATGCCATATACATTTTTCATAGTATAAAAATTCCCTGCCCAAACAAGAGCAGGTTTGATATAAATAGCTTGGCTTCTCTTTATTAAGCCATTCACTGTCACCTTATGCCCAGCAAGGGAAGCTGGTTGGAGCACTACAGTCTAAACAGCTAGAGGGTAACACTGAGCAGATGAGCTAAAGAATATAAACAATGAAAACTTGTACTTTTTAGTTTCAGAGCAAATGCCCTGTGCTGGCAGGAATTCTTTTCCCACCAACTCTAGTGATATTAAAGTTGAGAGCGGTCTTTTTGCAGCTGTTTCCCTTTAATTACCTCTATTCCTCCAACTCCTTGCTATCATGCCTCATTTACTGTCTCCTGTCATTGGGTGGGTTATATTCCATAAAGACATCTACTGCAAGGAGAATAATCCAAAATGCTACTCACCGTACAGGGCTTCAAACTGAAAGCAGAGGACACAGAAAGTTACAGCCACCGACTTCATGCTTGTCTGACACAGAGGCAGCAGCCTTCCGTCTACTGTGAAGATGGGGAAGAATTCATGGGTAGAAAAGGAAGTGGTTTGTGGGCAATGGGGGAAATTATATGATAATCAGAAGGACTTTTTAATTTAACCCCTAACTAAGTTACAGCTATGTCAGCATTAGCTGTCGCCCACACCTGTGGAGTTTGCTGCTTTTTTTTTTCCTACCTCACGGCTTGCTGTCACAGACAGGAAGATGAAAGATTTTCTGACATTACATTTGATGTTCACTTCTGCAAAGACTGTTTCTGGTTAAATCTATCACGATACAGCCTACAGTCATCTACAGTACTCTTCCTGCAGATGGCCCATGGTCAACTTGTTCCTTAAATTAACTTACATGCATATTTGCAACTGGCAACTTGGTTTCTCCCCACCAGTTTCAGCTGGTCTTATGTAACTGATGGTCTTGCTCTATGTGGAAACTGTTCATTAGTAGGGTAGGAGTCTCTTGTGTGTTCTGGTCCTGGAATTCATTGGAAGAACATGTCCAAATTGCATTAGGATCCCCTCAGCCCTGTGACTTCCTGGAGGCTCACTCTGACGTAAGACTTCCACCCTGGAGGTCAGGCTTGCTCTCTGTGGACATGAGAAACTTCATGCAACTCTGTGAGAGGAGGAGATCTGACCCAGTGCGCTAGGGCCTTAGGTCAAAAGTTTCTCTCCTTTCCTCTCCCTGCTTTTGCGCAGCATGTTCTATTCTGGGCTGCTACGCATCTGTATTCTGGGAATGTTTTAGGACCCTTTGGGATAACACGTTCTACAATCATTTAGAACTGGCTGTTTATTTATGCCTATAATACTAATTTTAGCACAGATAATATGCTGGAAAAGCAGCTTCTAAATCATGTTTTATATATTAGGTGCAGTTAGCTTTTCTGGTTGCACAAAGAGAAGACACAAAGGACTAATAGTGGTGCCTGACAGACACTCCTGGGGTTGAGTCCTTGTAACGGTCACACAGTGGTACCAAATAATTTGGAATAACAGGACTGGATTACAGATTCACTCCTGCTTTGTACCGTGTGAATAAATCTTCACGTGTTGGTTTACTCTTCCTCAAAAAGTGATTTAATTTCTTCACTACTACTGCTAAAGATCTGTTCACAGGGACACTGGCAGAGTTTTACTCTCTTCAAATCTTTGCAAAGCCCTGCAAATCCTTGCCTTTTCTTAAATTAAAATCAGACCTAAGCCTAAGTCAAGTCAGGATTTAATCTAAATTTTCAGCTCAGGTCTCTGGAGCTAAACTTAAGCAACCCTAACTAGAGAAAGTTTCTGCGATATACTTTTAATTCTGAAGCTCAAAGGTTATATGTGGAGGTTCAAGCAATGATAAAGCTGAAAAAGATCCATCTGACTCCTGAGCTTTGTCTATGAAGTTATGACCCACGTTGGGATCTACTGAGGTTCCCGGTAGGACCATCTTTCCCATCCCCCATAACAACTTATGGGAAGTGCTGAAACCACAGAGCAGCCCTCTCCTGGGACAGGACCTTTATTGCCCCCAGGTAAGCCTAAGACAAGCAGCCAGAAAGGCTTACAGTAAAAAGAGCTGCTGCTGCTACAAAATTAAGGGAGGAAGAGAATCATGTATAAAGTACCCCCACCCACACCTTTGGGACAGCGTGCTGACAACACACCAAGGATTGAGTCCCTAAAAAGCCTATTGCTGGCTGGGAAGGCCAATAAAAGTGGAGGGCAATGTACTCTTTTGAGCAAAATTTTAGCTATTTTTTATGAAAACAAGCTTTAAAACAAATCAGTATTGTTAGGGTTCAAAAATGTGTTGTCTTTCTTAAAGATTTAAACATTTTGCCAGGAAAGTAATTTTGATAGAGATTTTTTTTTTTTTAACCAATATAGTTATTTTGGAGCAACTTACTCCTTCCCTCCCCTCTCTGTGACCTTATCAGTTATACCAATGCAGAGCTGATTAATACATATCTACTTCCCTTGTGGGGTAAGAATAGCTACCAGCGTAGCTTGGTTGGCATAGATCTTGCTACAACAATTGCAGCAAGTCCCACTGTCCAGTAAAGAGTTTGTATTTGTCTTCTCTTTCTCCTGTCATTATAGCTTCAAGTCTGGAATTACCCCTTCTCCTTTTCTGCTGCCTAGCACTTGGGATTGCTAGAACACACTGCTCCCTCTGTTTCAAAAGGGTCCAGGCCAGGGTACGCTTTCGGATACGTTTGGCAGCACTCTGAAGTTTGATCTAGACAGTGATTTCTTTTGGTGTTCGAGTGTATTTGATGATGAGCCAGCAGAGCCTGGGGCACTCACAGCGTATGTTCACAAGCTAAGAGTCACGAAGTCTAGCTCAGGGCCAAGCGTGAGGAATGCTCACCTTCTAGTCCCACACCAACAGAGACTCCTCCGTTGCCTTTCGATCTTTCTGTCTTTGCCTCCCTCCTCTGTCAGTGCTTACCTACTTCACAAAGACATCGTGACTGCAATTTGGAAATGTTTCTTGCGAATACTACAGTTGGTTACAGTTAACCACCTGGGACAAGCAGTCTGTTTCCACAACACGTTTCCTATAACTGCAACTATTTTTGCTCACAAACACGTGTTTCCTTTTTCCATCCTCACTCATTTCTCTTCTCTTTGTCTTGATTTTCACTCTCTCATCCACATACGCCTCTCAGAGCTGACTTCTTTCCTTCTCTAACCTGACTGTCCCCCAGTCCCTGTCTACCCTTCCCCTCAAGAAGAGGCTGCCCTTCAGCATGTGCAGTAACTCCTTTCTGGAATGTGGCTTCTCGTTCCCCCAAGCCACATTCTTTCTTCACGTCCTACCCCTACAGTGATAAACTCCTTTTTCTCCTATAATGTCGCTTCCGAGTTGCCATCACGGACTATTAACAACCTGGAAAATCCTTACGGGCATTTTTATGCCCTGAAAAATGCATCCAGTGATACACCCAGTTCCAAAGAGAAACGGGCTTGCTCACCCCTTGGTCCATACACCAGTGTTCTCTACCACGCGATCTTCAATGCTTCTCCCTTCTAACTCCAAGTGACTCGGAAAACAACACTTCTGCTGCTTCCCTAAGTAGACTGATTCACAGCAAAGATTTTCCCTGTGATGCACCATGTATATTTTTCTTTGCTCTGTTTAATCACATAACTCTTACTATACTTACTGTCATCAACCTAAACAATGTCCGTGTTAGCAAAATGCTACTGCATTGTATCCCTTTGTTCACCATGAAACAAAGGTGGTGTTTACATTGAAGTAGCTTGTTCTGTCTCACCAGCAGTGTTCCACTTCTGCTTGTGGATGATGAGCAGTTGCCCACAGCAATATAAAATATTCTTTCAATAAAATGTTTTGTGGGTCTTTCTGCAGAGGCTGCTACAGTCTATCCACACAAATTATATTCTGTTGTCTCCTGCTGCTTCTCATTCTTTGCTTCAATATCTGTCCTATATTCTCATGACTCTGTGTCATTCCCTCAGGGCTGGAGCAGAAAGCCTCCACACTCATGCGTTTTCATTTCCTGTCCTCCTAATTGAGAAGGGGAACAATGACTTCCACTGTGCTATTTTAAGGTTCTGTGATGGCTTTAAATCCCACTTCCCATCTGCATCACTCTCCATTAGGTGTGTAAACAAGCTGCAGTCATTCAGGATATAGAGATTTCATCCTGAAATGCAGCTCATGTGCTCCCTCATTTGTCCTGATGCCTCCCTTGCTGATACATTGGTCCAATCTCTCCCACAGGCCTGTGGGGCACGCTGTAGTATTCTCTCCATCAACATGCCAGCAGAGGCTACCAGGGCTCAGCTCAGTGGCAGGGCAAACACCTCCCTGCAGAGCAGATCTAATGAGATGGTCCCCTTTGGGGTGTGAGTGTGTGTGGCTTTGCTTCTTGGAACAAGCTCAGGTATCCCATGAATCACTTTTTTTTTTTTTGGATCATGCTTGAGAATATTTCATTGTCATCAACTTTCCTAAAAGAAGAAAAAACCCATGTATGTTAAGAAGTTAAGCCCAGATCTAACACATGCAAGGACATTGACCTAAAAATTCAGTCAACAGGCACTAAGTGGCAAATTCAGTCAGTCTAAACAGGTTGCCCAGAGAGGTGGTAGATGCCCCATCCCTGGAAACATTCAAGGTCAGGTTGGATGGGGCTCTGAGCAACCTGATCTAGTCGAAGACGTCACTGCTCATTGCAGTGGGGTTGGACTAGATGACCTTTAAAGGTCCCTTCCAACCCAAACCTTTCTATGATTCTATGATTCTAAATGCTACTTCAGATCCTGTGACTGATGTTTTGGACTGGCTAGCTGAAGGCACTGAGAGCCATCTAGGCAAAAGACCTTCTCCATCTGGTCTCAGGAGCTGCTATGCCTCTGCCTATCCAGTCCAGTGCCTGCTGCAATACAGTTAACTAAAGAGGTACCTAATCACTTCTCCAGGACACAAGGTATAGATAGGAATGGACCAATGAAGGTCATGTGTGTATGCTGGTAGCGTGAACTGCAGACCTACAGTGTGGCTGTGAAAGGTTTACTATCTTGAATAACAACAACAAAGACAACACCCATGTTCCCGCCCTTCAAGGTGTACTGGGAAGAGGACTGTGAGCAGTAGGTATCTTCCAGTGGCATATGCCTGAGTGTGCAGGAGGTATTTAAGAGAATACGAGGGTTGTAAGTGGCCTGGGTTCATGGGCAGTGCTCTGGAGGGAGGAGGATACTTTCTGAAGCCATTGCAGTTCCCCCGTGGTCAACATGCTGCTGAGTGGGACTTTGTCACCAACGCCGCTTATATCTAGGTTCAGAAGGGAGGTCTTCCAGAAGGGATAGTAAATATGCAAAACCCAAATGAAACTCAAACCCGGGGACCCAGACTGTTATTGTCTTGCCACCTGTAGAGCAGTGCATGACAGATACATGCTGATGAGCTGGGTGACCATGAAAGTTATTCTGCTTTTGGATTTGAATTTA